CATTTCACAATAATAAATTTAAAACACGTTGTCTCTTAATAATACATCATTATAAAAATGATGAATATGAAGTGTAAGAATTAAATTGGCAATAGAGAAATTGTTGACGCGTCATCACTTGGAACATAATACAACATGCAGATTAATGCGGCAATGTAAAATCACATGGGATTCTGTTTACGTAATTTGTTGGAAATTGCCCTTTTCGGCCTCCGCACTCACCATATAACCAATCCTGCGATATCCTCGATAAAACTGTTATCTTTTCTCCTTCCTATGACATAAACATAGGAAATTAAATTCAGATCAACTTCAACAAGAAATAGTATAATTATAGTTATAACTTACACTGAATGTTAAATCGTCTGTTGTTTCACCCTCAAATGGATAAATAGCAGTAACCGTGTTGTCTGGAACACCGGGCAATGGTACTTTTATATCAATAAAATTGGCAGGCAGTATTCCTTGCAAAGTTCCTATTCTGCCCTCCAGCCAGTCATCGTTAACTTTCCTTATCAGGTGTATAACATCTCCCTCTTTAAAAGGTAAATCACCCTTTTGTGTCAACGGAAAATCGTACAATGCTATACCATATGGTTGTCCGATACCAGCCTAGAAACAGAAAACCGCAAAATTATTATTTTTTATACGGACTCGTGAGAACAGAACTATGATATCTTACCGAGAAATCGTTATTCATCTCTGTTAAATATTCTGGAGGTGGTGCAGGTGGTGGTATCGTAGGCATCGGTGGTGAAGGACTATTTTTGGAATCATCCGGCCATGTATTAGTTAAATCTAATGTCGTTGGTTTAACGAGAGGCACTGTTTTATTTGAACGTGTAAAGTCAGTTTCGAGATAATTAATTTTTTGTTCAATTTTCTTCTGTAAAATCTTTGGCGCTGGAGGTTTGGGTGGTTTTGCACGAATAATGGTCGGCATCGACTGAGCAGTTTTTAAAGGTGCCTGATTAGAAAGTACTTGATTATTAGTATGTTTGTTCGTGTTAAAAGCAAAAAAACATGCATCTCCCATGCGATTCACAGACTGCACTGTATTATGATTAGTTACTTCTATCGGCCCGAATGGGTCAGAATTAATCTGCCAGGGATCGTTTTGTGGCACTCTTCTAGTGGACATTCCAAAAAAGTCGAAATCATCTTCAAAGGCACTCTCTGTCTGAGATGTGTTTCCACTGCTAGTGAATGCAGATGGATTCGAGTTACCATCGCTGCCGAAACTATCGATGCTAACACCATCACTACTCGATCTAGTTGTAAATGTTGGAGATCCAGGTGGACTAAGATCTATCAGACACACAGATCCATTTATATTTTCTGGCTGTATTCTTCCATTATGTATCTGGCTATTTAATTGTGGTACATTTGAATGCTCGTATCTCTTTTTCCCAAAGAAGTTACTCAAAAGTTCTGTCGGCCTTACCTATTTGAATTTGACATAAATTATATTACAAAAACCTGTTGAATTACGATATTAATGCACGTTAACCTTTACGTACTGGCTTTCTCAATTTATCCTTTTGCGTATGAGAGTGACTGAACTTTGGCGGTGGTGGCCTGGGTGGTGGTTTCTTTTTTTGAACAGGTTGTTGTGTGAATGCAGATGGAAAAACATCGTTTCTATGACGAAATGTAATAATCAAATCTCATATAGAGAAAAATCATTTCCATATCACATTCTTGAAGAAATCTATTATGTATATTTAACTTACGGGCTGCTCCAAAGAACATTTCTTTGGGCTGTTGAGTTTACAGGTGCACGAGGAGCAGAACGTGTAGGAATTCGCATTTCTGAAAGTAAACGGCAAATTTCAAAAGGAGTTCCGTTGAGATACGGTATCACGGCGTGCAATGCACAGCCAGGCACTCATTGTATAGATTATTCTTTTCTATTTGTTCACACCACATAAACGAGTGTAGATGCGTAGGTATATACACACAAAAGGAAATCTACGGAAAACAATAACTGTATTCAACAGCAGTAAAACTTCTGCGTCGCGATTATACGCCCACTACCAAATGTCAGATTATCGTTTGACGCAATGCGAATTTAAACGAAGCACGATAACGATTACGAACCTAATAATTCGTGATATATATTAGCGATTTGACGTAAGAACGAAAAATGTCACGCACTAATTGAACTTAATAGTACTGACGAACACGTGTACAATAGGATAATAATATGTATTCCGTTGCACAGACTCTTGATTTACCCAAAGCACACAGATTGGCTAATTTTCTTTCAACGATGGTCACCGCATTGACAGGCTTGCACACACAACTCACCTGTTCTTACGTTTGCAGCCATTTTTCATTCGACTCGACACAATTACAACTATATGTTATTTATTACGACGAGATAGTGCGTTTAAAATAAATTGATGAAGCAACAATTAATTTACGTAGCATGATCGACAAGTATCGGCGGAAGTCGCATTCGAAGATCAAGGACCAATGAAAAAAAAATTTCGCCTGTTTCTCAACGTTCCATTTCGTCACATTTCACTTGTCAACGAAAAGGAGTTACGTTGCATAAGTGTACAATATTTGATGTTTACAATTGCAAAGATTACAGCATGTACATACATACATTGTTGATCTTGCCAACTGGACTTCTGCTTCCTGAGACAACGTGAAAGACATATATATGTATATACATATATTTCCATTTCCATCTATACGTGTACACGAGATTTTAAATTTAAATAATCATGCTATTTAAAAGGACAGAGAATAGGCCCCGTAGTGGCATGATGAAATAAAATAGCAATATTGCTGACAAAATTAAGCAAACATATGGGCGGGCATATAAATAATAAGGCTTTAGATTTAAGCTTGTTTATAGGACCGATTTCTGTGAATTTTTCAACAGATGCTGCCATTTACGATTTACGATATTCGTTATTGATCACAGAGAAGGGTGTTCTAATATTACCAGATTGCCAATGACACTACGGGTACAACAGAAATTGACCTGATGGTGACACCTAACAGTAAAATGGTGAAACTCATTGCGAAACGAACCCAGTACCTGCCCAATGGCTTTGGTGGCTGGGTTCCAGCGGTTCCGGGTTCGTATTGGCTCGTTCGTATTTTAAAGGTTCCGGAAGTCCCAGAGTCCCAGGTTCGATTTCTGCCTTTCTGCCATCCGGCCTGACAAACCTACAAAATACATTTTAATTGTTTGTTCCAAATTGCGCTATCCTGGTGATTCCCACCCCGATTTTAATTCAAATAAACGGAGTAGAATTTGTAAAACAATTGCCTTACAATTTCAGAGCTATGTATTAAATGTGGGAATACGATAGTGTTCCCTCGACTTTCAACTTTAATTTAAGGCGTACTTCTACATACTTACAATAGGCATATTAAAGTTTTGCTTATTAAATTGTTAATAATAACCGAGGAAAATTGACACGATGAACTACATATCAAAATCTGATATTTAAGTATGTATACCTAATAGATAACAAATTGAAATTAGCATTTCATATTTTTGCAGTTGTTGAATTTGTAATTATGTACATATATTACACTACTTGACGTATGTATTTCTAAATAATTGCATAATAGAAAATATATGTATCTAATTAACATTTATAATTGCAACTCTGTTTATTAGATTTTTGTCATTTTGCTAGAATTACGTCTTACAGATGTAAATCGAAGAATTTTTTTCATCGTAGATAATAAATTAGGCTCTCGCACTTTTCTATATATTCAGAACTTATACACCAAGCGTTTCTACTTGAAATGTGCATTGTACAAAATTGTATCAGGTAAAAAAATTTAAATGAAATATACACGATTCATCGATGATTTATCATAAACGCCACTTTATTTATCTATGTACATAACTCTTATTAACGTTCCTAATGAATATTTATTAGGATTTAGTAGGACTTAGTGGACTGAACTTATATACATGTTTCAGTGTCATCGTAACGACACTCCCACCATTGTACCCTGACTCAAACGATACAAGAAGTCGTGCACTGATATTGAACACGCGGTATGCAGTGCGCGAAGAGAACTGCATTATAAAATATAAAGGAAAAAGTCTCTTATACGCATATTTAACATGTACATTGGATAATCCTAGACTTAATCTTATTCTTCTGGGAATTACAAAATAATTTATATCAGATACAGATGTCAGCAACGACGCTTGGTACTTTTTTCGAATTAAATTATTAAGGAAGATTACGAGGTTGATCGTTCCACCATACATTATAAAAATTATGTTTATAGTCTTGAGTTTGGAAGGAACAAAAAGCAAAACTGAAAAAGAACTTGTAGCAATGTCGATGAGTCAACTGGATATACGTTTATTTAAAAGATAAACAGAAGAAAATAGCAATTTTGTATAATGTTTGGCAAACTGATTTAAAAAAAGTGTCTTTCACTCTCTTCTTTCTGAATACGATAAGATACACGTAGATATTTTTGTTCACATACAAAAATAAGAACATACTTTTCTTCTATTCATAAAATAAACGATTCGGTTTCATGTTTTGAAACGAATCATACGTTTGCAGAAACAGACATACGATGCTTAATGACAATTAAAATAAACAGCTACAACAATCGAATGTTTCTTATTAATAATATGTGAACATACATGTTGAAAGAAATAGATCAAGTTGAAATAAACAAAACGCCGTTTATATATTTTTGTTACCGAAGTTCGAATAACGATCATTCCATTAGACGTTCTCTAACGTTTCCAAGCGTAAAACGTGTTACGATCCTTATTATAATGCTGGACCGTTCTTTCTCAGCGTAACGCAACGCGAACGAAACAAAAGAAACGGAAAGAACAGTTTGTTTGGAATCGGTACTATCCCACGATACGGCGACTAATAGTTTAACCCATTATTGGATATCATTGCAACAATTAACATGGTTTTTACGCACAATCTGCATACGAAAGCAATAGAGACGAAAATGCACGCATATTGTTTTTAATGTTCCTGTGTACACATGATCGCGTAGCGAGTTAGATACAGACATTTTATTATATATCACTTTGGTCCAACATTATCTTTCATTCGTTTCGCCTGGTTCAAACAGGAAATATTATTATAGTTCTCTTTCATGACATTCATTGCTTTCGACACGAAATTTTGAATAAGACGGAGCTGATACAGCTAGATTTTTTTCATACAATCAAGCGTCTGCACCTAACATCGTACCATCGTACGTGTAAATAAAGAAGAGAAGAGAGGAAAATCACGTTGAACTCTCGGAACAACCTTTCTTCCTATCTATACGTATAAGTGATTAAGAAGGAAAGCTGGGTTCAGTGCGCGCGCGTAATATATTTTCTTCACGCGGAAAATTCAGTCTTGAGGATTGTTAGGTAGCTCTGGTACGATTTGATCCTGACACGAGGATCTGCTGGACGCGGTGCATACTCGCAATGGTTTCGCCAGCCACGGATGCCTCGGCACATCCTCCGCGTACGGCCTCTCGGACGGTTCCTTTCTCAGTAACGAGCGGATGAGACAACGGGCGCGCGGGCTCAGTCCTTCTGGAACCGCGAACTGTCCGCGCGAGATCTTCGCGAACAGAGACGCGTGTTCGGCGTCGTTGAACGGGTACCGGCCGACCAGCATGGTGTAAAGGAGCACGCCTAGAGACCAGATGTCAGCCGCCTTACCGGAATAGGCTTGACCCGATCGAAGTACTTCCGGCGCCACATAAGCTGGGCAACCTCGTCGGTCCGTCAACTTGTCGTCGCCGCCTTCGACGATCACCGCGTCCTCAAGACTCTCCAGACGAAGTCGAGTTCTAAAAAACAGAAGAAATGCGTGAACGTTAAGTTTTTCGATTATAAAAGAGAAGCTGTCTGACGTACTTGCAACATTTTATCCGAGTATAAATACAGACTAGAACTGATGGTTACGATAGATTTGGCAAGAGGCAGTAAATTTTGCAAAGCGAACAACGAAGTTGGCGTTTACTTGACGTATTCGTATGTTTCCGGAGAATTTAACGAAAACACGATGATTCGTTTTACTGTACGTGCACGCTTAGCGAATGCGTCATCTTCGAAGAATAAACTGAGAGTACCGTCCAATTCTCGCGCTGACTCGCATCATCGGCCGAATGATTTATATAAAACGAACTCGACGTCTTCTTGAAACGGCGGCGACAGCCGGAGAAAAGGGGTAAAGAGACGCCGCTGACCCGCTCAGCGAGTGCAACCTTTTACGTTCGAAGTATTTTCAATTTAGCAACATAGGACGACATCGTGATTGAGACATCGTGCTGTAACGAGGCGTCGTGGAACGAGCCACAACGAAAGCACTGGTGAAAGAAAGGAGTACTGGCTAGCGTGTGTGTATACATACATAGATACGCGCGCGCGCGTATAGTTGATCAACCTGCAACGCGGAAGTCATGGAACGCGTGTACGTAATATTCTCGATTCTTGAGTAACTACAAGCTTTCCACGATGCTCCTTCCCACATCGATTACTGTACCCGATCGATAATACGCAACCGCCCGAGGAAGCTTTCTTCTTCCTCTCGTCTCTTTATAATTTCCCGTACTAGTTGCGTTCTTTCATTCTGTTTATCTTCCTCCTTTTTATCACAGACCTTGTTTAAATTTGTCATGAGGAAAATCATTCGAGTTTCGAACAGGGTCGATGTAAATTTTATCAATTGTTACACTTATAAATAATCCGTTGCTCAAATGCCAGTGCGGATTAAATGTCGTCCATAATATTAAGCCACGAAGGAGAGGAAATTCAAAATTAAATATATTGCCAACAGTAACGTTCTTAGAATACATTTAATACAGATTGGCGATAGTGCGTGTACGTAATATTCTCTGGGTCTTGAGTAACGTTTCGAGCTCTCTACCGACGATGCCCCGCCGGCCGAGACATTTGCTCGATATGCGATGTCGTAATCGCGTTTGGGAAGTGCACACGCGCGGAGACGAGAAACTGTAAATGATGCCACTATCAATCATTTCAAAAGACAATGTGTAAGGAATAATCAATTGAAATTATCTACAGGCACTATTTCGTAACCAACATTTTTTGGCCCCTAATACAATATGAATACAAGGCATAATATGAATCTAGTTATCTTATAACAATGAATTAAAGAAAGAATTGGTTTTCCAAAAGAAAAAAAAGCGAACGAAATAAGAGGACACGATCTTGAAAAAACCGAACGAGTGTCAACGGCCTCGAGTGTCAGTTTCCTAGAAGCAATCCGGTTTCATCCGTTTCGAGCGACTCGGCACACGTTTTCCAATTTGGACGCACGAAGATTGGGCCAGCGTACAGCTTTCTTCGCAAACTTTCACTCGTAAGCAAACGACGACGACTCCTACGACAGGCTGCTGAGTTCAAGAACCTCGTGTTGCGCGTATAGTAAATTCTAGCACGGTGATTTCCTGCGAAGATACACACGTAGATATCTATATATGTCGATGATTTCGAGATTGAATAAGCAGTAACTTTAGAATCCCACGAATTACGGGGTGTGATAGTAACGAAAAGAATTTCTCTGATTGATTATTATCCTATTTGATAGGAATCGAACATTAATAGTTCAGAACGATTTCCGAATGATTTCCGGTATGAAACAAATTATTGTTTCCGATATCGACCGATATCTGCTGTGCATCTGTTTTTATATTATTAGTTATCTTGTCGAGGCACTTGAAGTTCTTGAGAAGGCACATCCGGGAAATCGTTGATTAGATAGGTCGGAGAAACGTAAAAAGGGACGACAAAAACCTCAAGGATTCCGATGGAAATTAATTTATCGATGGTGATCTATTCATCCATGCACGTTACGAAGGAGAACGAGGTGGAAACACGGCAGACGAGACAAAAAGAGCCGAAGTGTCAAGGACCTTGGTGCCAATGAATTTTATACACGCGATACTAAACACCAGAATTAGACACGAGGAGGAGAAGCCAAACACTGATGCACACGCATCGTACCGATGTTCGGGGTACGTAGATAGTACATGCTTCACCGATGGATAAAGATCTTCGCTTATAAGGATATTGCCACGTATCTGTCCGCGTCATCGCAAGCTGTGTCATGCGTGTATGTATGTATATACGTGGCAATAATCGTGCGATGCGAACGCTTAAAAAGGAACAAGCGTCTCGGCGCCGTGAAGGACAGAATGTTCAAGTATTATTGACAGTGACAATGGGTTAACCCAGCAGTTTCCAACCTTTATGCTACTACGCCTCCCTAAAACGAATTTTTTTCCGCGTCCCCCTATCTTTTAATTGATATAATAATAGACACGTTTTAAATAATAATAACTTTATTACAAAAAATACTGAAAACCACAATTAATAGAATAAAGCAAAGTTTTGTTATAACAATACGAACATGCATATTTTTAAGATCTTCCGCTTCGGATAATTTTTTAATAGGAATTAAATGAATATATAAAACACTATCGCGGATCGTGACACCATCATCGAACATGGGCCAAATGGGACAAGGAAAATGCAATGTTCTGCTCTGTCGCTATGATATGTAATACTTTTTGTTGAAGATAAAAGAAAATGTTGCGAAGAAAGGCAATATAAATCTGAGGTTGGAGGAAACACCAAGGATATTTGCATAAGCGCGATTGCAGTAAGATACAAGGATAGTTACGTATTGGTATTGCACACCGGAACTATCGTAATTATATTTGTAACAAAACGTCTGACAGAGAACCGCTGTATATCTATCGCTTGCATTTCTAATGGCACTTTTGAACGGAAGTATTCATACTGAAAGAACGTCAGGCTGAAGAAGATAAGAAACTTGTTTCTTATTCATTTTTTAATCAGTTAATTCCTATGAAAACTAAACTGAGCTGTGTTCCGATAATATGGTAGTTTCATGACTCAAACGAAAAATAGAGACATCCTCTTTAATTTCATAATCTCACGAAAATGTGTTGCATAAATACTAACGAAATGTAATTGACCGAGTATCTAATTATTATCAGAGTAGACGTAATAAAACAGGAACACACGTTCGTTGTTCTGTTCATAGTGAGCTCCAAAAAACATCTAGCGACCGGGGTCAACGTGCATTTAGCACGACTCTAAATACATAATGCAATCTCGTGCGCCGCGCGCGGGGAGATATTGTCCGCGCCTGGACGTCGACAAGTTTCTGGGAGAGGTGGAACGAGCCACGCGTTTCCTAATTATACCAGCATTTCAAAATCTTCCTAGTCGATGAACCAATATGCTTTTCTGGCTTGCAACATTCCCTGTGCCCGCTCCTCTACCGTCGCCGCCGCCACCGCCTCCTTCCTCGGCGCGCGGTGCAGTGTGTAGTATGTATCTCGGTGATCTTTCCTTCTCGCTTCGCCTTATTCTTGCGCGCGGGAGCAACTCACCGAGCAGCAGGAATGCGAGCGCAACACGCGCGATTGGCCAACGCCGAATCGACACCGCGCTACAACACGTGGCAGTGGCGCGGTAGCTTTCTCGTTCTCTCGGCCTTTATCGCTCCACACGTTGTACACAGCGTGTACAAGACAGAGAGACACTTATAACAGAATCCCACGTTAAGTGTCGCAACAAAATTTCAGAACCTGAACTTTACAAACTATCGTAATGGACCAAAGCTAAACCAGATTCAACGATCTCCGATATTGTTTCCAACCCAGTCGATCGCGATTTGGATAACATTTTTAAGTCACATAGATGATAGCGCCAGGTTTAAAGAGCTAGTCACGTGATGTTTTCAACATTTGTTGAAAAATTTTTGATGTCTTTTGCTCTGTCTTACCAATAGCACGGCAGAAACAAGGGATTCGCGGGACTAAATTTCTCGTCCTCATATAGTAAGATTTTTTTATCGTCAAGTATCTCTTTGGAAGGAGGAAAGACAAATCTGACGTGCTCTGACATTATGTCTCATCGCGCAGGGACGCAGTTTAGTCCCTTAAAGTGAGACATCCTACGTATGTACACATGACCGGTTGCCCTCGAGGTCCAACCGCCGCCGCGAGGAACTGGCGTGTAGCTGCGTGGTGTATTTACCGCACAAACGGTCACGTTCAACCGCGAGAACACGCCTAGAGAATAACTCGCCGCACTGTAGTATGGCACCTGGCGTGGTCTGGTGTGCCGTGATCCGTTCATTCCATGAATTCATTTCGTTTATATGTATTCGTACGTAACAGTACGTATATGCATGATCGAGACGCCACCCTTCCTATGTCACGATATGCGAAAAGATCGTGAAATTCGAGCTTCACGTGGTGCGTTAACAATAGAAGACCAGTCTATTTCACAGTGTAAGATCAATAACGTGTAATCTGGTAGGCAAGCGAAGATAGTAGCTGCTTCGGAAGGAATTGGAATAATCTATACGTATAATGTATGTACATGTATACATTTAGGCTTTTATGGCACTAGCTTGAAACTTTATGTGCTGCAATTGTATGGATTCACAACAGAACATTTATACAAGATATTACGAGAGCATAGCTGAAGACTGAATACAAATATGGTCGTTTCTTGTTAATTTTGAATGATTATATTGGCTATTTTCATCATTCTACGAAGAAGAAAAGTAGAGTTTTAATCGAGGAAAATGTTGGAATTAAACTGCACCTTATGTTTCGACGCAAAAATACAGACCTGTTCCTTCGGAATTCGAGTTACAATGTGTTACGGAACATCGATTGTAAATGGAAACGACATTTTTACTGAGAATTATCAGACATTGGAATCTAACGTGAATCAGTAATAGAGTTTCAACGGTGACAACGACCTATCGAATTCGCAATTGCAATAAATAATCCTAGGTCGGATAAAAACAAGAAAATAGAACGGAATTCATTAAGTGTCCAAGGGTTGCGTATTGTGTATCGATCAGTGAAGGGGAAATTAATTCATGTAGGTGTGGAAGTACTTCTTTGCCAAGATAGTATACCTTCTGCGTAATCGACGTAAAAGAATTACAGGCGAATATGGAAATGAAATGAATACGAACTGGTTTTTCATGGCTATCCGATACTTAAGAAGTGCTCTTTCACTCGCTTTGAAAATGCCATAAACTCTATGCGGGCGTAACGTATAGTTAATAATGCAATCAAATTAGCAACAAGCTTGTCATATCGAGACACATATGTTTTACCATCAATTCAAAGCTTGTAAAATCGTTTGTAACTAAGATCCTTAGAGGCATTCGATCCTTCCATACTTGACAACTGTTCTTTCAAAAGGATCTTATAATTACGTATATCGGAACGCAATTTCAGATATGTAATTGTATTATATCTTTTGTGATTTATTTTTTATTAAGTATCTTCTGTGATTTGCGTCAACTCACCTCGCTTCGTCGGCAAAGACGAATTTCCTGAGCTTTAGGTCTCTGAGCACGACTCCATACTCGTGACACGTGGCTACGGCCCTGGCCGCTTGCCGGAAGAGCCGCCTCGCCTCCGGTTCCCGTAGTCTCCTACGTGCTCTTACGTAGGCGTGCAGGTCACCGTGATGGCCCTCAAGCAGGAGATATCGCCGACTCCCGGGTCCACCCACCACACCTGCGATCCCGCTGGCTGCTCCGGTGCCCTCTAATCGAATGTGAGCTTGCAGCAGCGCTTTGCAACCTTTATCGCCCACGGTTAATGCCTAACATTTGAGAAAAGTTCTACATTAGACAGCTGAAATCATATTGTTGCGTAATAATAAAATAATAAAATAATAAAAACATATGTAAATAACTGATTTATGTATATTCTCTCAGAAAATAAAAATCAAATTATAGTATTTATTTTATTAATGGACTGCTGTATCAAATGCACTTTATGTAAATTCCTTCCGGATTTTAATATTGAATGGATTATCGTACACAAAGAATGATTGCAAAGAAAGGAAGCGCCCTTTAAGGAGCAAATATCATATGAAACGCAGCACGTTCTCAATAGTATGCGCAATATCTGCCATTGTGCTAGATGCTAGATAATTGTACGTTAGCATTGACCAGTTAATACGGATATCCGCGACGAGCAGACAATACAAATATCCGGATCCCGGCCACTTTACCAACGCGTATTCTCGCGTTTCTTATAGAATTATATGGGTAGATTTTTTCCATTTCTAATTGAGCAATCTGCTTTCATTTTGAACTAGTTAATTTGTTTAACTGTAACGTTTTAGTGTTGCAAAACGTTCGTTTTATTATTGTCTGCCTATCAATTATTTTTTATTACCAACTGATTCGTAATCAATAGGTAATCTGCAATTAAGAAAATCAAGTGATCCAACGAATGATTGTCGATACTATTCTCTCATGAAGCGTATCGTAGTGATAAACTTCCAAGCATTAAAATTAATAATTTCATTTCTGAGTGGCAGGAAAGGATTATTATACCACTCAAAAAGATATTAATAATATAGTTGTATTTCTAATTGATTTTCTAAATGATTTACTCGATATGTTTATCATACATATAAAATGTTAATAACATTTTGATCACAACTGGTGTTCATGTTCTAAATGCGATTTTCGATTTTGTTGGGAATTGGAGAGGATATGAACTGATTGCTAAATTACAGATTTGATGCATTTATAGAAAAATTATGCACTGTATCTCAGACTGCACGACTTCTCTCTGTATAAAAATAGACAAAAACATGAAATAAAGACCAAATATCACAAATATTTTATTTAATATAAAAATGTGCAATCTAGTTATAAGATAATTCGACGAAAATTTGATTTTAAGTATCTTAAGAGTAATAATCGATCTGTACCGGGACGATTTCGTAAAGAACGCAGGCGCCCTTATTAAACCAATGGGACTTGAGTTTCGAAATCGTGTCAAGTTTCGACACGCGAGATGAACGGCCGGACGAACAAAGTTTCAAAAGTAGCCAAGAGTTCGTCTGTTCCCTCAGTGACCCATTTTATAAAGCCGTTTTATACGTTATTGCGAGGTTTTTGTCATTTGTTTGGTCGACGTTAGCTATGCGTTCACCCGCTAAATTGTAAGCATTCTCAGAAGCTTACTGGCAAAGAGAATTATCTTGTAATTGAATTTATTATCTCAAGTACTTAACATACGGGTATCGATCACCATATCAAATATTTACGGTCTTCTTTTTACTGGAAAATCCAATATTTAATTGCTTTTGACTCGTTTCGTCACGGGCCTAACGCAACAGACTTTTTCACAAGACCCCTCAAATTTGTCTTTCGATTGCGACACAATTTCTTTTCTGTTAGGTACCGTTTCGTTACACACAGGTCCAACGATCCGAAAGACCTTGAAAAGAAACGAAATTACTTTGCTCTTTGTGCCTCTAATCGTTAAAATAAACACCAAACAAATCTTTTCGACAAGGAAATTGAGAAGTATCGCTTTGTATTCCAACAGACTTCCAACGAAGGAATTGCTACATGCTTTCCATAGAATTCTTATAAAAATTGACTTTTCTTTACAAAATTCGCCGCGCGATTCTATTCGATTGCGTCACATTATTCAGTTTGTCGTACACTCGTGCAGATTGATGTAATTTTTTTCGGAATACATGTGTATTTCCAGGCCGACGAAAATTAATCAGTGAATTTAAGATAACAATTTAAGAAACAAGAGTCGATTGTGTAAAATAAAAATATTTCATTCAAACGGAAATGTTTTTAACCCTGATACAACCTTATCTATGAATCAGAGTGAAAACTATCTACGAGATGTGTTGCTTGATCCTAAATAATGACTTCATTCTACATATATCGCGAGAGCTATTAAGACGTCATTCCTAGATTACGGAATTTTCTGTATTAGTAGATCTTCTATTTATCTAACTGACATTATGGAAAATACTACATGTTTTACAGGTTGTTTCTTCCTGGGACTTCATTACGACTAGTTTCAACTATTTCTTGTTTTTAACCGATTACAATTGAACGAGGGTATTCCGTTTAAAATGTACCCCTGTATCTTAAAAATGACTTACCGATTATAACCGTACAAAATGTGCGAGGAATGCGAGAAGTATTGACAACACTTGTACGTGCTGTTCTCTTCTTTTTAAATTTTTTATAGTCGGATTTTATTTTTCTTAACTTATTCTTAACGGCGACCTAAATATTTGTTGATGTAAGGGCGAAAAGTAATTTTTTTTTGGAGTCTTATTTTCAGCCAATTTAGTGAACAACATTGACTCTCTTATCACACAGATACGGAGTATAGTGCCTTAACAAGTATATGGATGAATTTTTCTTAACTTATTCTTAACGGCGACCTAAATATTTGTTGATGTAAGGGCGAAAAGTAATTTTTTTTTGGAGTCTTATTTTCAGCCAATTTAGTGAACAACATTGACTCTCTTATCACACAGATACGGAGTATAGTGCCTTAACAAGTATATGGATGTGAATGTTGAGTAGATGCAACGAAATTATTGTATATACATAGATTTCTCTTAAATACTCTTTCGTCGGAAAGGTGAATCGTATAATCATCAATTAAATTAAAACGACCCCAGCATTAAAAACGATTATGAATAACGGGTAAAGCATCGATATACGTATACGTACATAGCTAATAACGGCGAGGTGAGGCAAGGTGCGATGTTGTATTTGTTTGCTCGGTGATGTAAGTGGCACATTGTATAACATGACGATTGTAAAATGTTAATGGAAACGAAGCAGCTGCTGGTCTCCTCACTCCTCTCTCCGTATACGGAAAGGGTTACGCGGCGCCTTTTCGTCTGTTGAACGTCGGGATTATTAGAGGATCTGCGCGCGATTTCCGTGTACAACCACTGTCGCGACACTGTCTACGATTATTTCTGAGAAGAGAGATAAAGGTATTGATAGTGATTGTGACACGCTTGCAGCGAAAACCGAGTTTACTTATGAATTACGTGTTTATGAACTTGATTTAACTCTTTTTAGATATATAGGAAAAGAGAACTTTGAGAAAATTGGTTACGTTGATGACATCGCCAACGATTGTGGACGCTTCGACGGCCTCGAACATTATATAGCAAACCGTTAGGATTCGACGTATAATAATAAGAAAACAATATACATCTACATTATAACATTCAAGCAAACAATGTAATCTGTACAAGCTAATGATGTAACAATTATTTGTATGAAAGCAATATATCTTTCATACATCACGTAAATGTACTGTATTGTAAAATAATTCCTGTATAGAAGAAAAAAGCAGTTGTTCTGCTGGAAGAATTCAGACAACTGCACTGTCTGCATGTGCTGTTGTTCCGGTAAACGTTATTCTAACAATACACCTTAACAAAGGTATTTTTAATTCACGCTGTTTACGCTCTCACATATATTAATCACTAATAGATTGTTTTAATGCCTCGTTATCTAATCCCTTCCATAATCGTCATTATTGATATGCGTCGAAAACAAGAATAGTACGCTGATTCTGTTATAAATGAGCCTCTTTAAAAATAGATTATACGTAAAATCTTAAGGATGTTCCAGCTATATAATCTCTGAAAAAAATTATGCATATTCTAATTCTTGCATGCGAGTTTAATATGATAATATCTGGTTATTTTAAAAATTTTAGGAATGTACCATTATTTTAACATGTGGTCAACCTTATTGCGCTATGTATATCTTTCATTGACATTGTAATGGCAAAATCTTTTTATTTTGTCTTAACTGTACAAAAGATAATAAAATGCTGAACAATCCACATTTTCCAAGCACGCGATCGCAACACTTTCTAACGCGATAAGTAATTCAATTGAAATTTCTAGCGCGCACCGTTTTTACGTCGCACGCTATGTATACCTAACGCCACCCGGAAGATTGGTCGCATAACAAAATGCACGAAAACCTCAAATAAATTACTTCGAATTATAGCAACGAGTTACGCCAACAACCTCAAACGGTTTTATACATATAGCGGAAGCAACGGTTGCATGATCGGTTACGTGCCACGTGTTGTCTAAAACAGTGGTTCTCAGCACAATATAAAACGATCTTTTCTCATCTACACTGGAACATGTATGATAGAGTTATTAAGTCTTGAAAAAATTGCTTGTATTTGCACGGTGCGAAATCCGCATAATTTTTAGTAATGATTCAGAATTCTGTCGCGGAAAATCTCGTGCACTCTCATTCCTTTTTCGTTCAGTAGGGACGTAAACGTACGACCTTTGCGATTCCGAGATCGTTAATACCATGAGCGATTGCAAGATTTTATAAAGGCCATTGTGTGTGATTACAACAAAGCTAACAACTGTTAAAGATACTAAGTCTTAAAGGATTAAGAGAATGATCCATTAACGTTGTCTTATTTAAAACTCATGTCATCGCCAACTAAGTCATCCTACGTAAACTTTTGAGAAAAAAATCGCTTCGACGTGTGTAAATACCTCTATGATACCTTCAGGGTTTACGAGTACAAGGAAATTATACAGAGTACAATAGAATGGAATATTAGCTGAACACTGGGAATCGGAGCTGTTTCAATCATGATGTGGATTAAATTGACATAAATCAACGCTTGACATTTATGTTGAACAAACATCCTTCACGAGAAAATATTGCGATAAATTAGCTATGCAAGAATTATCTACGCGATCGGTTCTTTCGATTGTCTATATATATTTGATACGTATCCTTGAATTACCTACGATCGTTCTTGTTTCTTAGGAAACAAAAACTATTAACGATAAATATGGTCGAATCTTTTAAAGCGATGAAACAAATAGTAACATATCGTGATATCGATGATTCACGAGGCCAATTAAATAGAATATTCCCAGAGACTTTGAAGTCCTTTTCGAGTCGGAAATAATAATAATACGTTTCGAAGGTGATACGTTCTGCAACGTCAACGCCAAGATTCGCGTTCTTAAAACAGGCAACGTTCATTAGAAATGCAACAACTATGGGATTTAATTGCAAGAAATGCGGTGAAGGTTGACGCAAAAACATTTTCTGAACAACTTTTCTCAGAGAGTGACACACGCGTTCCTACCAATGAATCTTATTGCAATCCATTGACAATGGAAATAACAGTTGCTCGCCTCGCGAGAAGAAACACCGGATACTGGAGAGGATCCGCTACTTTTTCCTGCAGACCGTATCTACAGACACGCTCTAAAAAGTATGATCTCTCTGCAGAAAATACGTAACTGTCACTAGCTGTTCTCGATATCATTTCTCGCAAAGCCATTAGTATACACACAGTGAGAGCAATTCGTATGAACGCAACTTTGAAAGTTAATGATTTTCCTGCTTATTTGAAAATAAAGGTCAAATAATGTAGTCACTATGGTGTATTTCATTTCTTTAACCATTGCTATACAGAGAACCGATGCTAAAAGGAAACATATATTTTGCTCACAGTATATTCAAACGTGTAAATCGTTTCCTGATCAGATTCTACATTTTATGTTCTTGAATTCATTTAAACCTATTTTGTAAGATTACCTCCGAATGCCATCGAACGTCTAATCGCTACTATTACAACAGATTACAAACGTTTACGAAGCTATGATTATGAATATATGATTAACATTGACTACTAAACATGTTGATGCAAGTATTGCCTGTTAAATAATATTGTACGATCGACTTTTCATTCAAAATTAATAATACGAAACAAATTATATATTGCGATCCAGTATTACGAATCTATAGCATCGGCCAATAATGCTTTGAACCGTTCACATTTGACATGAATCGAAGACGAAATAAGCCCGCGAGCGACAGTTTAGAAAGGTGATTTTCATCGATACAACTGTGTAAACTTTTATTGAACGTGTTTCTGCACGTTGTTGCACACCTGCCTCCGAGACTCTTACGTGACACATATCCTGGAGGAAGGATGCGTTTGTTTCATCAAGGATAAAATGACCAAACGTGTTTCGAAATCGGCTTCCCGACTCTTTTTCTTCGTCAACTGCGTCTCGAGAAATCTCGCGCATTGGGATACGATGTCATTTTGCGATTATTCCGAAATCCTGCTTTGGTTCAGTTTCTTATCAAGGCCATTTGAAGTGGTACTTTTTTTGTAACAAATTGTATTCACATGTTTTGCACTGTCCGTTAAGTGATACATGAAAAAAAAGATGGTTCAATGCCGTGGATGCTTATTTCTATTTTGATACAGAAACTGAATATGTACGTGATGGCATATCACATTCTATTGTTCGAGATTGCATTACTGTTGTGTCTTTACGTTACTACGAAATGATACGGATAACAATTTTTAGCCGCCTGCATTACTTCCATTTACTCCGGCGTTACTTATACGTGTTGCAATGATGCAGATAAAACAAGTGATCCGAATTTCTAATAAAACGTTTGAGTCGATTGAATGAAAAAGGTTACAACTTTTAACTACGTAATACTTTTATCGTACCGTATTACGTTAAGATTCTTACATAACATAGATCAAGTTAAGAGTTTAAGATTATGTACATATCGTTTTCTATAAATTCCCAAGAGCTATGAATAGCATTAAATGAATTAAAAAAAATTAAAGTTTATTACAATTATGTATTAATAAATTGAAGCATCAGCGGCCATACGTCGTATGGAACTATGATTTTGCGGTTTCGTACACCTTATGTCGTAGAGGCTCTTCTTATCTCGTTCCTTAATTCATATATACCAATGCAGAGTGTCATATTACAAGATAAATCGAACTTTGACTGTCAACGTTTAGTAAAAAATGACTTTTTGCAAGTGAACGTATATTATCCAAGAAATGTAAAAACCGTGAGTAGGAACTACGGCAAACCAACACCGGTCGACAGAAATTTTCTAATGTTTATCCTACGCGAAGCGTTAGGCACAATAGTGTATAAAATATGGCGTCCGATTACGTATCAAAATAATTGAAGAATCGGTAGGAACGGTAGAAACTAGAAGAAGCTTACCTTTGCGACGAGATGTTGGCCAGTGTGAACATCGACGCATCGATAGAGAGTGCTTCCTTCAGCCGGTCCAAGGAGTAAATACCGATCAGCGAGAATGGTCGGACCGTGATGATCGGTAGGCACTGGTTCATAACTAGGGAAGACAACCGGTGGCACAGAGCTCGTCTCGTCGCTCGTCGGCTGTTGACTGATGTCCTGATTATTGTTCGGACTGAACAGGAACTTTCCATTGTTGGAACGAGCCACTTGCTGATGAAAAGAATGCTGTTGCCTGATGGCAGCCGTCACTCTCATATTGTGCCGTTTTCACACACGCACTGTGTTTTACACTCGTGACAACACTTAGCGCCTGGCTTTCCGTTACCTTCTTCCTTTTTGAAACAGCGTCCACTGTAGTTTCAGACGCGTCGAATGAAGCACTGAGTTCGGTTAATCGAAATTCTTAAAAATGACTCGTAGTTATTGTCAATGGACCGTTAAAGTAGAGAATCTTTTTATTTTTGTTTTCTTTTTGAACACACTTTCACGTCACAAGATTTACCGAACACGGTAGTCTGCGACGATTTATCGGATTGTAACGGGGCCGATTTGCACGCTTTTTTTAAGCTCTATCGGTAATACAAACACGACGTGTATAGCTACGTATTTAATTAATATTTAGGTAAGAATATCACTTGTGCTCGGGCCCACGCAGCGTTGCTTCGTTTACCGCTGGGTCCTTGGACGGAGATCTTCGTGGGTAATAGTCGATCACTCTTTACGAGAAAGCTCTGCGACAAACAATAAAGAAAAAGATGATTTACGTGAGACGAAACTCCACAATGCAATTCAGTGAATTTTGGCCCAACATACACACATACGGTCTTCGCTTGTTACATACCGCTAAAGAGGACGTGTATTTGTTTATGTAAGACCAAAATCAAAAGTTAGGCTTATACGCAAAAAACTGCATAACATACATAAACTGCATAATGTAGACAAACAGTGGTTGTACAACGCGATAAATATGTCGTTATAAACGCTAAATAATGTAACGTTCCGCGAAAATTGCTATAAAACGTACTTAAATTCTGAGAAAATATAACATCGTTGAATCATACGGGTTCGTAATAGGATTCCGTTCATTAACTCTATGTGATTCACGGATCATTTCAAAAGACGACGATATTTCGACACTCGTCCTGCCTCGTGCGCAATTTCTATAGAGAAGGGGACAACAGTAAGGTCAGGGATATGGCTGTGTGTAAAGCGGCCGTTGCGCTGCACGTTCGGTTCTCGTCCAGCAAAGGAAACTGAGTCGCAGAAAAATGATGAAACGTGATGCAAGAAAATCTCGAGGGCATTAGTAATGTCGCTAATAATACGTGAATTTTGCTCGACCTTCTTCCTCTTTTCATCTACTTATACCTCGTTAAGTACGAGTTTGTAAATCGAATGTTTTGGTAACTACAAAATTGTCAGAAAATATTTTTAGATTTAATGTCATATCGTTCTATCACGAGTCCTTCCAAACAGTTATAATTTCGAGATGTGACCTCCTGTTCGCAAAGATTGGTTTCCAAATTATTATGCATAGAATACCATTGACGAAACTGAGCAATATGTAAATTCAATGTCCTTGATGTATGCAATCAGAGACTTGTTAATCAAGTTTGAAAATCCGCTTCGTTTTAAGTCGACTTCTCATAGAATCCGATTTACCGCGTACACATAACATTTATTCTGTTTGTAAACAGTACTCGGTGATTTCCACTGTGTTCTTTCCGGGAAAATGTTCGCGGTAGGATAATAATTAACCGTTACAGCCATTTAGAATCCGGATCGGATCAACGTATTCTCTTCGTGTTAATTCACCGCTTCGATAACTAAATAAAAACTGATTGCAAGGACCGGATTTTTAAGTTCGACTTTCTCGAAAACGATGCCTATACATATATTGTTTTATTTATTTCCTTATTTCTTCATAGAGAACTAATAATTGTTTGTACGTGTCACTCGATCATATTTGTGCTGGAAATGAAGACAAAATTCCAGGGTACAGATCCGTGTTTACTCTTCGCAACATGTATCCGCAATATTTCAAATTCTGGATTAGTGCTCTCAAGTAGCGCGGAGAAGTTAACGTCGTAAACAGAAAATATGATATTGGCTGGTAATCAGAGATTCGAATTTTTAATCTTACTCGACCGCTTGACTTCATTGCTTCTACAGAAATACAGTGTATCGATGCTAGCGAAATCGCGCCATACATATCTACGCACTTGCGCAAGACTAATACGAATTCCAAAAGTCAGGAATGTGTGTATCGGGATATGTGACTGCACACTTCGGCTACGTAATGGTGATCAAATGACCAGACACGATTGAAATTCATTTTCAATCAATAATTTGTACAGAGCATATCACGAAGCGAGTTGTATTCAACAAAATTGATTAATTCACAGTTCGGACCAAGGACAATTAATAACGAATAGTGTGAAGCAGTCAATGTTAAAATAGTGACTATATATTCATTTATTTATTTACTGAATTGCATCACTTATCTGCAACTGCGAAGCATTAATATACATTGTGTTTATTACCTGATATTAGATCTTATTTATTTCTACTAATTCCTAAATTAATATTTAGTATGATCTCTTTTCTTCTATGTTCTGATAAATTTACATACTGAAGTCAAACTTTTGGTATACCCAATGGAATCACATATTTCGATTAAGAAATATAACTTAAAGTTAATAACGTAGCTACAAGTGCGGGGGCCCCGGTGCTGGAAACTGGCGTACAATCTAAATGTAAGGTGTCCCCTATGCCCACGTTTATTGAATGAACGAGAATCTGACGAAATAGCTGACTCGTAATTAGCGAAGAATTGCGTGTACACGATAGCTGCGTGCCGAAACACGTATACGTACACGTTCGCACGCACACTAAGGTGTAGATAGCAGATATCCTTCGGTAAGGTCAAAATGGCGGAGTTCCACAGTTGTCACGGCAATATTGCGGGCACCGGTTGCATTAATAGCACGCGCGAATGTGACGCAATCCCGCGAAATAAATTGCCTAATACGTCCGCTCACGCAGTTCATGACTTTACGTCGATGGGTCGTGACAACTGTTTTCTTTAAACGACTGTCGACATGAACGAGGAAGAAACCACATGATAACAACGAATCGCAATCCTCGATAACAATCTCTCGGTTCGGGTGTTATTAGGTTGGTGCACAAGTTTAATTCTTTATAACTTATCAAGATGTTTGTTTGCATGGATTTGCTTTGACAATAGCCCTCAATTCATCGCTGTCACAACGTTGTCTGATCTCCGTTATGAAATTTTCTTGCGAGGTGCTTTGCGTTTCATTTTTTATTCTACAATAAAATCAATCGAACTTGCTCCATCTTCGATTTGACAAATAAAGAATAAGCTTGATACTTCATAGTAGTACATTAAAAGAAAGTAATCAATTGAAGCCTAATCTAACTAAGAACGACCACCTCAATTTTATAGCGATGAAAACCCCGTGTTTTTTGCACGAATCTAATAAAAATTGGATCTGTAATCCTTTCATAAAAAAAAAAAGTGTACAATCTATCGATTGTAATCGTACAATTGTGACAAGTAAACGACCGAAGGAGGCAAGCAGGGGTGCATATACTGATATCAGGGGCAAGCGCACCAAAGTAAATATACGATAGAACGACGAAGCTGACATCGATCCGGTACGTGTCGGTAATAATCACTGCACTTTGCACTATACTTGCGCGAAGCTGATACGCAAAGTATACGTACACACACACACACACTTCGTGATGCATCCTCTATTTTCTCCCTATATGTACAATATTCATATGTAGACCATCGTGGGATGAGCACGCAAGGGGATTACCTTTGTATGTTCTTCCTGTTGTCGCCGTACGTTCCTGAACGGGAGGCTGGGGCGGAGAAACTATCAGACGTAATCCGTAGTTTTCCCCCAAAGACGTTGTTGATTAACCGCCGTGCTCGAAAAACGTATTACTCCCGATGGTATTCACCGGATGTATCGGTTTTTCGAATAGCTTCGGATAAAACCTGGCCTTTTCTTCTAATCGGCACTACCTGTGATGGTCGTCGGTAGGTAGTCGAGAGAGGTGGTCTTCTTTCGATTGGTTTTTCACGGTTCTCGGCAATTTGTTTCCCGACCAGCCGTCGTTGTTACTGTTTCTCCTTCGTCGCGTAGGACAATTCAAGAGAAACAGGGAAACTTGGAAAGCTGAGCGGTTCACGAAACGTGCGGGAGACTATGGCGGTGAGATTTGTATCCCGCGCAACGGACGGTCCAACGTTTTGGGCCGGCCCTCCGCTCAGAAACGACGGCGGCAGCAGAACGAACAAGCACAGACCGATCGCGCCATTGTGCAGCAAACGACTGAAACCGAACGAAACGAAGCCACAGTCACCGTCTCGGCTTAACCCGATGCGAATCGGTGGTTATTTGGTGGGGTTGACGACTGATTGCGCATGCGTTTTCTATGGTCTTCACAGTATCGGCACAAGAGGATCATGCTTGCCGGTCCCGTTCGTGTGCTTCTCATGTTCGTAAAAACGTGATTCAAATTTCCGAAGACCAGGATTATACAAAGAACGACGAACCATTTTGCTTCGAATTTCCTACGTGAGTTTTTATTTTTTCTCATTCATTGAACATCAGTATGAATCGGATTCGAAGGAAACGTGTATTGTTTATCCTAAAAAGGAAAGAATTTTTTATCGTGAGCATTGAAAGCATAATTACTTAATTTCTACTAAAAGGAATATATAACTTTTAAAACCGGATAAAACTACGAATACGATGATTTCATCGTACCGTGTCAATCGCGTCATTGATTCAATGTTCCAGTGTCTCTTTTCCATTCATGTGCTTTGCATTATACTCTTGATTTGTGATACACATATGTAATTTGCTCTCGGAATATAATACACAGTAAAGTTATAGAGCGATGATACGGTGATGACGAAACATAATACTGAAAGGATTCCGTGAGATTAGTCTTTTTAAGAATAATGTGATAAGGGGGCCTGGTATATTGAAGATGCGCCACTGGCCACATCAGTGCGTACGTGGGCATACTAAACCGTGACACGCGGTCATACATGTAAATTATTGTATATTTACAGCAAACAGTCCCGCGATACTAATTATCTACCTCTATGTACATTAGATCATGTGCCTCTTATTATTATTAATTATGCAGTAGCAAAGTTTCCTTTGATATTTTTCACCTTTCGACACCAAATTGTGTTTGATCGTTAAAAATGTACATTCTACTGTAATAACTTTGAATAAAAGTTGATCTGCGAGGTCACACGATTTTGTTTTCTTTCATAATCGAAAAAAGGCATTCGACAGGGAGTAGACTGTTTCGAGACATTCGTTTCGCATTAATATCGTGCCCTTGACCTACCTTAACGTTCCTTAGCAACCGCGGGAGGCACGCTTTAAACAATCGGTGGCAACTAAGGGCACGTAACCTCACCCACGTACTCCGCTATGACCGTGAGAAAACGTATCATCGTTGGATGTACGTACTTTTTTTGTTGTGAAAAACGGGGTTGTGGTGGTATCCTTTAGTCATTTCTAGAAATACATTTAGCTTCGCGGTTTTCCTCTTTTTTGTGAGCATAATGGATGTGAACATCAGCAGGACGATAATAAATTACAGAATTTACATAATTTTTAAATAAAGAAATCAATTATTCTGTATGTAATTGTTTATCGTTGTTTTACTTAAATTAAATTTAATTTGTTGCTAATAATAAATCACATAGAAAAACTAGAAATCCTGCATATGAACTTCACAATAAAGAAGTCAGTTTTCTGTTACGTAATTTAAACAATTTATCTTTTTAAATAGCAAAATGAAAATATCGTAAAATTGATAAAAATATTAGAACATTCTGATAGTTTTACTCGAGAATGATACTTTAATGGGACAGTTACGTTCTACAAAATAATGCTAATAATAAATCACATAGAAAAACTAGAAATCCTGCATATGAACTTCACAATAAAGAAGTCAGTTTTCTGTTACGTAATTTAAACAATTTATCTTTTTAAATAGCAAAATGAAAATATCGTAAAATTGATAAAAATATTAGAACATTCTGATAGTTTTACTCGAGAATGATACTTTAATGGGACAGTTACGTTCTACAAAATATTTATTATACAGTGTATACTTGTGAACGTGTAAAAGAAAGGATACGACGTGAATTGCGTGGATCCATGGGGCCGAGCCCGAGCAGGCCTTCGAATTTCCAAATGAGCTTGGCCCCAGACCGGATATTGGCCAACCTAGTGCTTTTTTTTAACACACTCGATTCTGCCACTTACGTGGGTGCTGGTTGCTTCGTTTCGCGTTCCGATGATTCAAGCCGACCATGTATGTCAACAAAACTCGTGGTACGATGTATTCAAGAAACTGAGACAATAGTGCCAATTATCTGATATTTTAATAAAAAGAAATGACAATTTCACTATTTTAATTTATGGTCAGGGCAAGCTTAGGGGGAACTCGTTTGTATAGATCATCTTATTACATACGAATGAATTTAATTTAAAGAAATCATAATTGTAACATGAAATAATAAAATAAAACTGTCACGTTCTTTGTATTGTTATTACTGTACATATTCTCGATTCAGTTATCATTCGATTGAATGCAATTGATTTCGATAAAAATAATTGTAGAGGATTGATAATTCTTTTGCACCTATCGAGGTAAGGAGCGAATTTTTCCACATCGTGATTCGGACTGACAATGAGACAGATCAGACTAAAAGTGGAACTGTCTATCAAACCAAATTTAAACTCGATTAAGTGATTGCGAATTTCTTCTTTTTATCCTGTTTCTAATGACGATATCAAAATCACTTCTTTTTCAATTCACGCGCACGATCTTTTTGTCAGAGATTGCCGCAAAAATTTCGTCATTCAGCGGCCTAAAGTAGGCTCAAGGCTGACCGCTACGCACTTCACGGATATAATTCTGATATTATTCCGATAACTGTCTTCATTTTTTGGTATCTTATTCTTAGAAATTGATATATGTATAGTAGACTTTTTTAGATTCTTCTTTCCGTGTTTGCTACGAGTGCCTGCTCTTATCTTGCTTCCGGTACTATTGTCGATTTCCGGTGAATAATTTTAAATACATGGCCATGTTTTTGCGTATAGCGTTTATCAGTTGATTCCTTATCTTTTATCGTCACATTCTCCAAAAACGTTTCGTGGCATGACACGTTGTTTTATTACGTAGATAACTGAGGACAGATGATTTTGATCGTTCCGCGAAAGTTTTTTATTCAAAGTACAATCATTGTTCTGCTTAGCAGAGCCAAAACGGGAACACTGATAAAACCTGTATGCATGACATTTAATTTTGTATCTATTGTAAACGAAAGATTCACAAACAAAGCAGACGTGTACGAGTAGATTCCGTACACCATTATGATATATGTACATATAATGGTATGACAGAACGTGATTGCGAAAAGTTATGTTTAATTCAATACAAATAAACTCGATATCCTTCGTTCCTCGGTAATGATTTTCTTTTTCTAACTCAGTCTTTTTGCATTGTCGTTCATAAAGACATATTCGACAAACGTACTTCTCTTTAAGAGACAAATCGAATTCATTTCGTTCAAGTATTCTGCTAAAACAAAAGCGTACTTTGTGATTTTAAAATGCATAATTTCATCACCGGAGAGTAAAAAGCAGATCTCCGTGAATCCAGACACAGAAGAAGTTTTGATGATGACATAGTAAATGTGAGGTCATTGACTGACTGGATTGATAATCATCAATGGGCAGATGGGAAAAACATTGGACGGGTATACGTGACGCGCGTCATGCTGTCACCAATTGCTTGACCAGCTTTCGTATTGTAGATATACTTTTGCCCCGACTCATTCACGCGCCAGAAAGATTTGTCTGACTCAATTGTCTGACTCGAGTACCTACTCTCTAGCAATTATTCATCGATAAACATGAGTTGCTGACTCGTTTCACAAAACAATGGAGCTAGGTAATAAGTATACTATATGACCGGTGATTCGAAAATTTGTCGAACACGAAAGATTCGGAGAATTCATGCAACAAGTAAATAACTTCCGTTTTGGCATTACCGACATTTTCATTGAAACAATAATAATTTTATTATCATCGATGAATATACTGACCACTTTTTTCAATTTTGACTATTAACGCAACAAAACGTTTTCAATCGCTAATGATTTCCGATATGACGTGAGGAATTTTCATCCCGAGAATAATGACTAATCGCAGTTCTTCCAATGACATCAGACGTGATTGTTGCATATAGATAAAACGAGCTAGATTTCTTGATAAACGAAAGCTTTGTACGTAATGGGTTTTTGTTTTTAAATCGATAAATAACATTAGTACAGTAAAATCTTCATTACATAGACTAACTGGAGATAAACGTGTTCATACAAGAACATACACATAAATATAATAGAACAACAAGAGATTAGCACTAAAATTATATTTAATACAAAATTAAGTAAAACGAACATAATTTGTTTATAGATCATTTCTTACATACAGTATTCTTTCGATAAATGTGAAGTCGGGACCGAAAAGTCCCACTATATAATTTTGATTATGTTTATCCATATATGAAAAATGTGAATAATTCATTTTTTACTCTTTCATATAATTTTCTAAGTACGTATTATGCTTATTTCATATTAAATAAGTTTTATCTTAGGCAAGCAAATATGTAAACAGTTAGTGTATTTAGCATTATAGAAAATATACTGATTATATCATAGAATATTCAGATAACAGTGGTTCATATAATAGAATATTCACACGATAGGTGATCACATAACGGAGGTTCTACTGCATTAGCCGGCGTGATAAAGTTTATCTGTGTTGGGTTGATATAAATATGATTTCGTATTACATCTTACTATCAATATGGAGATACTTTATGCAAATATGAAAAATAAGATGTGCGTGTATGTAGATTAATAAAATTAGGAGACATATTTGCAAACTCTGTGATAAAGTTTATCTGTGTTCGAGTTGATGCAAATATGGTCTCGTGTTGCATCTTACTAAGGAAAAATTCTATTCGAAATTGCGTAAGATTCTATGCCGCAGTTCCTTTTATTTTCATTCTCTTTCATTAGAGAAGTTTATTCATTTATTCAATACACTAAGATTTAGAGAACAAACGTTCTAATTATCACAATAATTATGTTGCATCTTCTAATATAAATGCAATTTGTTTGTTACAAGTCTTGGTGAGATATAAATCATCTCTAATTAAATTATCCTGTGTTCAATTTGATTCAGAATGTAGGCAATGAAAAGGAACATGGTAGGTGATTTTCAAAATTAAAATTTAAAAGGAGAACAGTGTTTCATATGCACTAACCCAATA